CTTGTTCATAGATCTTGAAACCAGATCAATATCCATTTCTCAATAGATCTATTTATCGATAGAAAGATATAGATCTCTATATGGATCTATCTCCATATCTAAATATGGAAGAACCGACACTTAAAGGGCGTAACCAACGGGAGGCTCTCACCCTGTCCCCGACATTGTTCTCCGACGATGTCCCCTGGGCAAAAGGAGCTGAAAGCCACTTGACTGTAAGGAAAGGAGCCACCATTCTCTTTCTTTCTTCTTCCGATCAGGACAAGTGGGTTGGTTCGTTTCGTCCTCCTATCTACGCAATTCTCTGTCTTCGTTCGTGATCATGTTGGGCGAAAGGTAGTTGTAGAGGAGCGGAAAGCCACTTGACTGTAAGGAGAGGAGCACCCCCTGTTTTTTTCTTTCCCTCATAAGCCTCTGCTACTTCCATAACATGGGCCTTTGACGTGTTCCCCCATATATGTGGATTCTTATCTTCTTTAGTGATGTATGCGCAGATCGGACCCCAGCCCTTTTTTGCCTGGATGTCGCATTGCATTTGCTCGAACTCGGGAAAGACTTTCCTAATCTGGCTTCTAAAGCTATTTTTAGGTGCCCTCTCGACCTTTCCACCGATGTTCTAATATAACCCTCCGATTCTATGGTTCTCCCTGGCTACGAGGCCTCACACGGGTAGAGTTCGGTATTCCTTTGTCGATGGCTGACCCAGCTCTTTCCTTTCACCGGTCGGTAAGTGCATCCTATTCCTATTAAGCGGGGCGGCAGTTGCTAAATAAAAAGGTGGCGCCATTCCCGCTAAAGAAAAAGCAATTCTTCATCCAATCTCTGTTCCAGATTCTGGTCTTACCAAGTCACCTTTCTCTAAGGCTAAATAGCTAAATAGCTAAATATCCCCGTACTCTTTTTTCCTATTTTCTTTATTCTTTCATGTCGAGCTTTCGAAAGCCACTGGGGAGGGAGAATGAACGATCGACTGCTAAAGATCTTGAATAAAGCATTGATAGCTTTGCAGAGGAGAAAAACTTTGATTCTTCCCGAAGGTGTTCCTTGCATGCTGAAGTGAACAGGGGCGGTACCAACTACGACTAGAAAGCGGTCACTCCTGTCAATGAATACCATTCATGGTTGTCTATGTTAGTAACATAGCCATAACGACTTTGTTTTACTGCTTGAGGTGGTGATAGCTTTTATATATTTGCTTAATTATAAGCTTGCATAGTGCTCTTCCTATTTGTTTGTTTTCTCGGCTTTCTTCTGCCGAACCGAACGAAGACAGAGAATTGCGTAGATAGGAGGACGAAACGAACCAACCCACTTGTCCTGATCGGAAGAAGAAAGAAAGAGAATGGTGGCTCCTTTCCTTACAGTCAAGTGGCTTTCAGCTCCTTTATTAAACCCTCCCCTTTTAATAATAAGAAGGTAAGCATCAAAGCCCAGAAAACCCAACCTATACAAAGAGCTCTTTTCAGCCCCTACTCCTAACAAGTGAAAGTTGCTGGCACCCACCATATCTTGCTTCGGGGCCGATCTCTTGTATCGGAGCAAACAAATTCAATGATTTTCTATATTCTATTTATTTCTTTTTTCTTTATTGTTGACTTTTTTCCACCACAAACAGATTTGCCGCATGGATTGGATAGAGTCCCCTGATCTCGACATTCAAGCACGAATCCCTTGAGCGCTTCGGCGGCGGATAGCAGCATGGGCAAAGCACTCTGCTGCGGCGAGCAGCCGGTTCTTATTGCATTCACCAAGATAGTCTTGCTCGCTCCTTTCCTTACAGTCAAGTGGCTTTCCGCTCCTGAACTCTGCGGCGAGTTCAGCCACCACCTCCGGGTCTGGGCTCTGCTCGAGCGTAGTCAGCCAGCTTCGTGACTTTGCTTAGCTTCCAGCCTTGCAAAGGGATAACCTTTCACTATCTAGGCGCCCTCGAAGGAGGGGTCCCACGGACTTCTTCCCCGAAGGTCAAGCCGTAGTTCCTGTCCCTGGGAGAAGTGGAAGGAGTTAGGAGGATGGAGCGCCCTTTGCCCTAAGAAATAGGCGGCTTCGCCTTCAAGCCGTCAATAAAATCGAGCTAGTGATCATGACAGTACACTGATGCATAGGTCTTCTTTACTTTACGGCCTTTTGATTATGATGCATCATGAACGTGCCAATATGTGATCGGGGTGAGCGGTGGTTAGATATAGGGGCGGCTTCGCCGGCTTGGATTGGAAGGAAGGGCTTCGCTTTCCGATCGCTTTTTGAGGCCGGTTTGGATGAGCGTGGGCAAGTTCGGGATTCACTATCGCTTTCCGCTTGGAGCGGCTCACCCCCTTGTCACTTAAAGGGCGAAGTCGCCGAAGCGAGTCGAAAGGCCAAAGAGTCATCTTTGAAGGCTACTATGCATCCTTATTCATAGTAGAGTGTAAGGTAGGTTTGGGTATAGCAGGACTTGAACCTGCGACCATTAGGTTAAAAGCCCAATGCTCTACCAACTGAGCTATACACCCAAAAAAAGATGTAGTAGTAAATAAGGATTGGTACGGAAAAGAGGCCGGCCCCCCTTCTTCTCATCATATTAAAGGAGCGCGGCTCTGTATGAGGCTCGTACTGCAGAGCAAGCGGAAGAAAACGTAAGGTCGCGCGTTAGCACTCCTGCAAGAAAAGGGATGCGCTAAGGCGCAACGGCTTTCGCGCAGCTGCTACGCCCTTGCTTCTTGCCCCTTATTTCTAACTCAAGGAAAGCCTTGATCGATATGAGAAAGATGCGCTCAAGCGCCCAACCTATACAAGGGGCTTGGGCTCGAAAGCCGGCCTTACTCAACAAGCACCTTTCTTAGTAAGGTTGCTTGTTTCCACTCATTGAAGATTCTATCTACAAAAGAAGGTCAACGGGGGATACTCAAATTGCTCTCACTGACACCAGAGAAGGTGAGGGCGTCTTTCTTTCCAGCCGCCATACGGTTCGCCTTAAAGCCTTAAGGAGAGGGGGAGGAGCAGTTATCTATGTAATTACGGTCTTTGTTGGCCGTTGTTCCGGTCGAGCACTCTCTTTTCTTTGTCCAATTCCGTCTTACCAAACAAGACTGACTTCTTACCAACCCGCGAAGGGTTGTGAGGCTGGACCAGGTACGAGGAATGAATCTATATCTGTGCACGGAAGTTGCTGGCCGGCGGCCGCTCAACTGTTCGAGCGCAATGCAGTGGTGTTGGTTCCGATTCGACAAAGGTAGAATGCCTGGTCGAAGGTCCAGTACAGTAGGTAGCAGGCGTGTTCGTTTTGGCTCCCGAGCGAGAACGATAAATAGGCGATGCACCATCCTTGCTGCTACGTACGGTTTCCTTGACTTGACAGATTCATTCAATTGAACCCACACTCAAAGGAGGACCACAAGCTCGGGGCTCGACGAAACAGAAAGTTTCAGCATGTTGAAAATGGGGTTAGCAGTGAAAGAAAGAGCCCGGCATTCATTTCTGAATGAATATTCATAGCTGAGTCTACTAAAAGAGGGACCCGCCTCGTCGTGGTGATTAGAGGACACCTCTGATCGTTCACCTCTAATGTGACACGTTCCCTCCCAGTTATAGGGTCAACGGGATCAGTCGGCTAGAGAGCGGGGCTATTCTTCTTCCGGGGAGACAAAGTCGTCCCTTCTACTGACCGAACCCTCAGTTCGGGGGCCTTCGTCAACATGTTACGAAGCTCCAGTCTTCGGTGGGTCACCATTACTTGACTTAGAAAGGCGAACATCTGGGCAAGGGAAAGCGCAGTGCGCCTGGTGCAAATGGCTTTCTTTTTTCATGATATACCAATCAGAATGGAGGGTCCTACCTACGTACATGATTGATAGAATCACTACGTAGGGGGGGCGGTCAACTTGATGCGGGAGAGGCATGAGTGCAGTTCAATCTTGTGGTGTATTCGTTTGTAGTGAGTAGGGCCTCTTTCTCGTTGATCAGTTCGCCTCCGCTCTATTGAAAAGTAGGAATTCCTACGGCGGTTTTGTCAACGAACGCGTCTCGGGCCGGATTGACTAACCTAACCCACCCTTAAGGAGGCTTTTCCATAGTTGGGTGTCCGCTTTAGTGTGATTTACGAAGGCTAGGCTAGGTTTGGTAATATCCAAAACAAATGAAAAGAGATCGGGGTCGATAGGTGGCAGTTGGCAAGGAACTTGATCCCCCCCAAAAAAAGGGGGAAGCCGCGGTCGAACTCAAATTCTGGAAATAAGTCGGGGCCCTTTTACCAAGTCTACCAGATAGAAGATGATAGAGGGCCAACTATCGTTGCCTTGCACAAGACGGTGCCCTTTCACTTCGAGTTCCTTCCTTCGTAGTCAAATCTGATGATACGCTTTGGCGATGTTACCTACCAAATAAAAGGCCTGCTAGGTGATCGAAATCGCTCAGGTCAGTGAGGACTCACTCACTCATCTACTCCTTATCTATTTAATACTTTCTTCTATCTACTTAATTAATTTAAAAGGCGACCCGCCGCGCCGGGCTATAAGATAAGATACAGTTCTTGTACTACTTGATTGACTGGTAAGAAAGAGCTTCCGTAAGAACTGGAAGACTCTTGTATGTACGGTAACCCTCTCTTCCGCTACTGGTGGACTGTTGCACAGAAAGGGCGACAGAAGCAACCTTTCTTAGCGCGCTTTTCAAGCGCTTAGCTTCTGCTAGTGGCGGGGCGGCAAGGCCATGTTGTTCAGTTGGAAGCCTAAGCCAAGAAGGTACGAACGAAGTGACGGGCCCCTTTAGAAGATAGGGGGCGGCTTTCTTGTGGTAGTAATTGCGAACATCTCTCCTCTTCTCTTAGCGTGCACAGTTTGCTTACATGCCGCCTTAGGCACATCTCTCTTTCTTAGTTTCACGCTGGACTAATGATAATGAATGAAAGTCAGTCTTTTAGTAAACGTATATAAGCAGCTCTTTAGTGTATAAGCAATTCTTTAGTGGTCGCACCGAAAGTACGGTGGAGGTTGGTTGAAGATGATCTTACGCGGCGTTCAGAACCAGTCTTGAAGTGAATGAATTATAAAGAAGTAAGGAAATGAGACGACTCTTTCTTGAACTATATCATAAACAGATCTTCCCCTCCACACCAATCACGAGTTTTTCTCTATTCCTCTCGTATATCGTCGTAACGCCCTTAATGCTAGGTTTTGAAAAAGACTTTTCATGTCATTCCCATTTAGGTCCGATTCGGATCCCTCCGTTGTTTCCTTTTCCTTCCGCACCTTTTCCTCGAAATGAGAAAGAAGATGGTACACTTGAATTGTATTATTTAAGTGCTTATTGCTTGCCAAAAATCCTACTTCTACAATTGGTAGGTCACCGGGTTATTCAAATAAGTCGTGTTTTCCGTGGTTTTCCCATGTTACAACTTCCGTACCAATTCGGTCGATCCGGAATGGATCGGTTAAACATTCCATTAGGTAGCCTGGTCTTGACTCTTCTGTGTGGTATTCATTCTCGTTCGGCTCTTGGAATCACATCCAGCAGTGGTTGGAACAGCTCGCAAAATCCAACCACTTCACCTACTTCATTGCCCCCAACCGTTTCTCGTACCTCTATTGAAACAGAATGGTTTCATGTTCTTTCATCGATTGGTTATTCCTCTCCGTTCGTATCTCTTTTTCCAATTTCGGTCTCGATTAGTTCACAAGATTGAATGGCCAATTCTCCTCCGAA